GTCCTAAACTTTGTAGACTATTAATCTTATGCGAACGAGTGTTCACATGCACCAGGCTTTTATTCAGAACAGAAGCACTGACATGCACAGTTGCTAACTCCCCACGGCCAAAAGAAAAAAAAAGTTTTACTTTCGTCATGAACATAAACGGCTTCTGAGCGCTCAGAATGGACCTGCGACAACTTTTAATGGTGTAGATGTTACTCCCTGGTTAAGCTACAGGTGACGGACGGACTTCTTTTTTTGCGAAGCAGGGCAGGCTGTTTGTCTTCCTTTACTGAATAAGAGGAGGAAATGTTCTGTGTGTGTGTGTAACACCGCTGCTGTCCCTCCCTCCACTCTGCATTCTAAATGATTGACAGACCACCGACTAACATTTTCGTCCAGTCTCGTCAATGAAAACTCACACGTTTCGTCACGTCTTAGTCATCAAAGAGCTATGTTATTTTGTTACCGTCTCGTTATCGTCATGAAAAAAAGGGGCGACAAACAAAATATTTCGTCATTGTCATCGTTAACGAAAACAGCACTGTTTTTGGAATATATATATATATATTGTTTGGAGACTCTACCTGTCTTTGTGCTGAGGTTGCCAACTGGATCTGGCAGAACTTCACTGCCTGGTCCAAAGCTACATCTTCATCAACCTGAGAGAAAAGAGACAAAGAACAGAGGAAGAAAACAAAAACATGAGGTCATAATGTTTTGTTCTAATATATTCCACCCTGTTGACTAACAGGTCTATCTGGTTCTGTCTTGTGAGTTCTTCTGAGCCTCTGCCTCTGATGCGTGGAGCCGAGGCCTGTGTTAAGGCCCACCTCAGCTGCTGTTTGTGTGGGGGTGGATGAGGCACGCTGCAGCACAGCACTGCAGCCCTGACACAGAGCTGGGTGAGTAGAGATGACTGCCACGTTACCTGCAGCAGTCCGGTAGTGCAGAGAGTCCGAGAGAGAGCTCACAGTGTTCAGGTTTTACCTTTCAAATTGTTCTGTTAAACAAGCYGAGTTAAACTTCAGCGCATCGCAGTGGCTTTCATGTCTGCTTTCCTGCATAACTTCCTTGCCAAACCACACACAACTAAAGACTTCACACAATGTTTCTAGAAGATTAACTCCACTTTAACGCTGCTTGATGATATTCAAACACAACTTGAAACTGGATGAGCTTTAGTTTGGGTTCGGTCTCACATGTAGACGCWCGAGCTGTAAAACCATCTGACAGCAAGCAGTGACGATCTCAGCTCGTTCCTATTTGATTACTGATCACAATCATCTTGTTTCAGACAGCAGGATTCCCCGTCAGTCAGCTAATGCCTTTGTTATAGCGTCACCGCATTCCTTCACATAATAGGATAGTTCAGATTTCTTGAAACAAGAAAGGTTATGAACAATTAATATTTTACCTGCTGTACATTGCTCTTTGAACAATGTCAGTTTAGAAAAGCATAAGTTATTTAGACCAAAGTGACCAGCTAACAGCTAGTCTGACCGTGGCTAAGGCCAAAAGCAATTTTTGTCTTGATCATRTACACGTTTGCCCAATAGCTATTTTGAAAACATTTATACTGGATTCAGTTTTGCATTACATGGTTATCAGGGAAAAACATTAAATAAATATCTGCCAGAAGGGCCTCAGGCTGCACTGGAACAGCTATAGCTAGCTCCACACAACTCTGTGTAAATAATGATAAAACGCAAAACTGACTGTCATTAAATAGTGTTTGTATAAATTGCTTGTTATTAATTGGAGTTGTTTCAAAACAGCAGCAACCTTTGTTTTTGAAGCCCAATTAGCCTAGCCATTAGCTTGTTGGACTCTAAAAGGTCATTCAAAGAGTTAAAACAATAGGCAAGATATTAATTAATCAAATCTACCTTTAAAAATAGGAAAGTTTTAAACCATTTCTATGGTGTAGGTTGCTGCTTTTTTGTTTTTACTAGTTACAGAGATTTAGAAAATCTTAATAATTCAAGGAGTAAAAAGGCCACTTGAGATCTCCAGCAAGCACAGGGCAAATGTGACGAACACATCTGATGAGTCAGACTAAAGAAGGAGTCCAGAGAACCACCGTGGGTTTCTCAAAGATCAAACAACTACRTTACTGTTACTAAAAGACATTTTGATTACGTCCAAGAGCTCCAGTCCGAACACTTTGTGAGCCGAAGCTCTGAAACTGAATGAGAGCYGTTTGCATGATGACGAACATCTGAACCTCTTTATTAGCAAACCTGAGCAGCTTCTTCTCTGAAAGACAGGAAATAGTTTGATGTTGTTTTTTTCATTCTACCAGCTTAAGACGCAAGCTAAAAGAAAATAAATATAAGAGTTCTAACAAACAATATAAATATAAAATATATACATTTAAAAAATATTGCTGGGCATTCAATTGAAAGTAACACCAAGCAGCTCAACATGAAATCGTGACACATTTGCATTTTGTGCTTGTGGATCAACAGTAACAGGAAGGTGAATTTAGAAACTACCCAAACATTACCTGAATAAAATATTTATGTCACCATAAACCAGTTGATCTATTTTTAAAATTATTTTATGTATTCGCTTTTATTACTTCTACTAATTGTAAGGCTCATGTATGATTAGAAGAAACACGTTGGTTTGTTCTGGCTACTTGCTGTTATGGAGAGTTTTGGAAAAATGTTTTCTGCTGTCACTTACAGAGCAGGAAATATTTGCCTCAACACAGAAACTATTTGGGTCTAGTTTAAAACAACACCGCTTTAACTCTGAACAAATGGTTAAAATAAAAATTCCTCAGATTATTCTGCAGTAAAAACTGTGTTGTTAACAGTTTAGTAGTCTAACGTTTAAATAAACCTTTTGTCATTTTGTTGTTTTGTCTGGTAGCGACATCCAGCTAATGTTGRTACCATGACAATGACGCAGCAGCTGAATGTAATCTGAGAGCCAGTCACTGACGTAGAAATATTTTAAAAATGAACTAGCGATAACTGATTTATGATAACAACAAAAAGGAAAAAGCCAAATTGACCTGAAAACTGTCATTTGGGCCGCATTTAGTGTCAGTTATTCATTTCATGGATAAGAGCAAAAAGATGTCAGGYAGGAAGTGAAATTTGGGTTATTGAGAGTAAAAACACAACCGCACATCCAGCTTTGTAGCACAGTTAGAAGACAAAAGTGAGGGGAAGTCCCTAAACTTGTGTTACTATTTCTGTTAGCAGAGGGCTTTCCCAAATCTAAAATATTTAAGGTGGACCTAAATAACACGTGCATGACTTTGCAAAAAGAAAATATCAAAGAGGGCACAAAGTGTTTTTCCTTCGGCTGCTGCCTCTGCAGGGGTTCCTGCAGCGAGTGAACTCACATTAAAGACTTGGCTCGAGCCTGCAGCCTCAGGTCTACAGCGGCACTCACCACCAAGCTAACACAGCTAAGAGGGTTGTACCTGTCCACATCATTTTTGCCATGCAAGGAACAGAAGATTGCTTTAAGCGCTTTTACCTGTTTTATGAGCATGTATGTCTCTGACATGATCTTCTCAATGCGCCCCAGGTCGTAGGTCATGATTTTCTGGCCTTGCTGCCACACTCTGTAGGCGTCAAGCAGCAGGGTTTTTCCAGACTCCACATCCTCTAGAAGTTTCCTTTTCCTGTTTGGTTTTCGTAGTAACCCCGGATCAGTTCCACCGGCTGCCACTGTGACTTTTTGTGCCGAGACTGGAAGCTGCTGCTGTCTTGAACTGATGCTCAGCTCCTCTAGAGACAGCTCTGGTGTCCGGATGACTTCAGTCACCTTCTGCTGGGAGTCAGAACTGCTCACGGGGGTCTCGATCTCCGTTTGGTTGCCCTGAGAATCGGTTGCGGTAGAGGACTTCCTGCACAGGCTAGTGTCCGTCTCCATGGGTTCCTCTGGCCCTGCTTTGTTCCCTTCATTCCCAGCAGCCTCCACCTTCCCAGGAAAGCCCTCCTGAACTTTACTCCCTTTATCTGTTGTCAGTGGTGTTTGGGTGAGCTGAACCTGGGAGGGCTCTCTGGGCCCAGAGTCTGAGGCTCCCTCTGAGAGTGCGGGCTTTTTATGCAGTGGCTGTTTGCTGTCCTCAGAGCTGGGCCTGTTGGACGTGTCTGCTGTGGTCATCTCCCCCATGGAGGGTGCAGGCRCTTTGTGAAGCTGCTCCGACACCTGAGAGAAAACAGAACCTGTCAAAACACAAAGCGGGGGCATGCCGGACGTCTGCGGCGCAGGATTGTGGCTCCTTACCCTTGTGAGACTGTTCAGATTGTCCTCCAGGACTTTTACAGTTAGGAAAAATGCTCTCTTGGCCAGAACCTGGCGGTCGACATCCCGTAAATACTTCCTTCAGGAAAGAGGAAGAGAGATGCCGTGAAGCAAACACACCGTAAATAACAGAAAGCGAGTAATCTTACTGCAAGYCCTTACTTTCCCTGGTCAGGGTTTCTGTGCAGCATGAACGAGACTTTCAGTAGGGTATTGTGATCCTTAAGCTGAGACAGCACTTCCAGCAAGAGGACAACAGATCGGTTCATATGAGACGCAAAACTTCCCGGGCGATCAATCTCATCTACTGGAATACGCCAGATGCCCTGAGGAAGACAAGGAGGAAAAAACAAAACAATATGTGCTACAACATCATTCCTCTTAGTGCTACCAGTACTGTTATCWTTTATTATCATTGTGAATGTTGACAAAAATAAAGGAGGGCGACTGGTCTCCAAGAGAAGAAGCTAAAATATAATGTGCCAAACACCCYGACAGTCTACATTTTAAACTTGAAGCTTGTGTTTTCATGCTCTCTGCTGCAAAGATGTGTGGAGTTTATGACATGTGGAAAGACCAACAACTGAACGAACGAAYGAACGAAAGAAAGAAAGAAAATTTAATTTGAGCAAAACGCACAGTGCTGAGAGAAGAAAGGCCTAATGAGGGGGTAGCAAGGCTGCGGAGGAGATCCTGTGGACTGGCTGCTCATGTAGCAGGTGGGGAGGAGGATTTGGGTGTGTGTGTGTGTGTGGGGGGGGGGGGTATCTTTGGGTGCACATGATAGGCAGCCTCATTAGCGTTCAGTTCTGTCCAAGGCGTGTAACAGAGCAGCAGACAAGCTGCCAGAAACTACTGCCCTCGTTTGCAAAAGAACTGACGAGGGAGCTTCTGACCAAAGAGACCACCTTTTTTAGCGAGCACATGTCCTCTCAGCAGGTAAACCGAGGCGAGGCGAGGGCCTCTGAAGTGACGGATGCGAGTACAGATGGTGGACCGGGCAGCATTCAGGCTCTAGTTAGAAAGCACGTGGCTCAGAGTACAGCCACAGACTCAGAAAGTGTGTGAGGGACTAAAAACAAAGATGACTTTATCAGGATGGTAGAAAACACACGAGTCGGTTCTGTCTGCTGTTGGG